ATTTAGCTGTCAGAGTAAATAAATGTGAAGCTGGGTCTCCAGCCTCCCTCAGCTCACGTTACCTTCCTAGAGTTACTCCCCGGCGGGGCAGAACCGCTGCTGGGGGCGTCCCACAGAATTATCAGGTTACTAATGAAGTCTCTTTTCAAACCCAAATGCTTGGACCATAGACTCAAGTTGGGGAAGATGGCAAAATTCACCTCAGAGAACAAGATGATCATAGCCCCTTAGTGGCCAGGAGAAGGATTGTGGTGAGAACCAGACAGCATAATACGTGTAGGGTACTTTAAACAGCACTGGGAATGTGGTTAGCACTTTACAAACTATTGGCTTTAGTAATATGGTTAATCAACAGTATAATCCTGAGAGGTTAAGTATTGTTATTCCATCTTGTGAGTAAGGAAACAGGAACTCAGTGAAGCAAAGCTACTTTGCCCCCACGGTGTCCTGTAGGAAGAAATCAAGTATCCAGATGCAATGTACTAAATTTGCTAATCTTACATTTTGCCAATGTCACTCTCCTGCTGGAGTTTGGGGTTGTTGGAAGAGGGATTTCTTTTTCAAAGCAGGTTACTTCTGTCGTCTTTGAAGTCAGGCAAGCTCTGAGTTGAAATAATCCTTCTGTAGTTTCCTTAGGGAAGTGGAGAATAGTTGATTGGTTGATGTGTACCCTGTCTTGTTCCATAAAAGGATTTGATGTCATACCTAGCAGAATGTTGTTGTTGTTAAGTGCCGTCAAGTCGGTTCCGACCCATAGTGACCCTGTACAGGGTTTCTGAGGGTGTAAATCCTTACGGGAGTAGAAAGCCTCATCTTTCTCCCGCGGAGCGGCTGGTAGTTTCGAACCGCTGACTTTAAGGTTCACAGCCCGATTCATAACCACTACGCTACCAGAGCTCCTTTACTAACTGGAAAATGCAGCACTCCATACTGTAATATTTATCTGTTAGCATTTATTAAAGCCCTGGGGTGGTGCTGTAGGATAAGCACTGGACTGTTAACAACAAGGTTTGCTGTTCAAACCCACCAATTGCTTCTCAGAAACCAAATACTGTCAGAACTGACTTGACAGCATTTAACAAGAGCGACAATATTTGTTGGCTGCTTACAGGCATGGTTCCTGAGTCCTCTACATGGGTCATTCCTATAACCTTTTCAAATTACAGGGTTCTACTCTGTTATCAACCTCATTTTCCAGATGAAGAAACTAAGACTGAACTGTTGTTGCTATGTGCCTTTGAGTTAGTCCTGACTCATAGTGCGTCTGTATAAGGTTTCTGAATAGCAGATAATAGGTTTGAACCATCAACCTTGCAGTTAGCAGTCCAATGCTCATCTTACATTGCCATACCAGGACTCTAAGACTGACCTAGCCACTGAAAAACTTGTCCATGATTATGAGAGTACTAAAAGGCTATGTCCTGGTGTGACACTGTAGGATAAGCTCTGGACTGCTAACTGAAAGGTCAGTGGTTCAAACCCACTCCTTGGAAATCCTATGCAAGGTCACCATGAGTCAGAACCAACTCAATGGCATTTAACAAAAGACTGTGTCAATGGCCCCTATGTGGCTCACATGGTTTTCAATGGACTACTAAAATAAAGGTTCGTAGTTGGACCCCACGCAGTGACCTAGCAGAAGAAAGACCTGGTGATCTGCTTTCATAAAGACTACAGCCAAGTAAACCCTGGAGTCCTGGGGTGGCACTGTGGGTTAATGCGCCAGACTGCAAAGCCATTTGAACTGCAAGGTCAGTGGTTCAAGCTCACCAGCTGCTCCTTGGAAACCCTATACAGGATCCCTATGGGTCAGAACTGACTCGAAGGCACCTAACAACAACAACAACAACAACAACAACAACAACAAGTAAACCCTATGGAGTTCTACTCTAACACACATGGGGTCACCACAAACCAAAATCAAATCCCTGACAATGATTATTGTTGGCTTTTTTCAGGGGTTGTACCAAGACTGGCACCCAGACAACCGGGCTATAGAGTCTTTGTGTTTCATTACTGAATCTAAAGTCTTATCCCAATTTTTATTTTCTGAATCTAGGAGCAGGAATGCATAGTAGGTAAGAGTTTGGGTTCTGAGTCTGAGTGCCAGAACTTGAAACAAGGCTCCCATATGTTTGTTCCTTCAACATTAAAATAAGGATTACTTCCTTGTAAGGTTGTTTTGAGGGTTAAAGAAGACAATGTATGTCAACTTAGCACATGCTCATAAATGCTCCTATTCTTCTCTATAGAGAAGCACAACGGTTTGTTCAGTCTTTGGACCTTACAGTATCTCTCTATCTGGAATACTTTGTTATCTCCCCTGAAAACAGCTAAATTATCATTTGCCCTTTAACTTTCAGCTCAAGCCTCCTCCACCCTTCTTGCGTAAAGAGTTTTCAAAAACCAGTATAATCCTAGTGGTCTTCTTTCCTGTAGTCCGTCTGCACTCACACATCATGTATCCAGAACTTTTGACGTATATTGTGGAAGCTGTGTTTGTATGTGTGTTTGAGTTCTGATGTCAGACAAGCCCAGTTTTGAATTATTGACTGTGGTAATTATTAGCCATGTGGCATCAGTTAGGGCGCATCACACAATCTCTCTGAACCTCACTTTCTTCATCAGTAAAATGGGCACAATAAGAGAAGCTACCTCATAGGATCATTGTGAAAAGAAAATGAGACATTATGACTGTAAAATGCTTAGCATCATGCCTGATGTGGATTAAAGTACCCAGAAGTCGTAGTTGAGAGTTGTTGTTGTTGTTGTTGTTGTTAAGTGCCTTCAAGTCGGAGCCGACCCATAGCGACCCTGTACAGGGTTTCCGAGGGTGTAAATCCTTACGGGAGTAGAAAGCCTCATCTTTCTCCCGCGGAGCGGCTGGTAGTTTCGAACCACTGACCTTAAGGTTCGCAGCCCGATTTGCAACCACTACGCTACCAGAGCTCCTTTGTAGTTGAGAGTATTAATGCATAAAAGAGACATTTGAAGAGGAGGAAGTTATTCATCTGAGGCCATGTGGACTTTTGAGGATACATGTGTATATGTGTGCCTGTCTGCATATCTGCACACCAGCTCTCACATTGTAGCCCATACTCTTGGTATAAAAGGCTAGGATTCACAAAGAAAGTCTTTTCATTCTGAATTTCTGTATTTAAAAGCAATAAATGACTCCAGTGTAGGAAGTAAGGAATAGCATGGCTAGGGCTGTTTTTGTGTGCTTAGATGTCTGTATAGGTGTAGGTATAAGTCTTTAGCTATGTTAGTGTGTAGCTATCTTTGTTTGCCTGTGGGCATACACCACTTAGACTGTAACTATTGGGAATCATGTGTCTGTAGAGATGTGTATGATGTTTCTGCCTGTAAGTACTTATCACGGTTCCTTTGCCATCTATAGAAATGTGTGTGCATATTTGTGAATGTCTGAGTAAAGGGCCTACAGTAGATAGGTGGTTTGAAGCTCTGTAGGAGTCTGTGCATTCTTGAGCATGAGTGTGTGTACAAGGGTAAAAACAATTGTGTTGTTGTTGTTATGAAGTGCCATCGAGTGAGTTCCAACTCATAGCAACCCTGTATAGGGATTTCTGAGGAGTGACAGGTGAGCCTGAACTTGACCTTGCTGTTCAAACCAATTTTGCAGTCCGGTGCATTAACTCACATATCTGTAAATGAGGGCAATTATGGAGGTGATGGGATGTGTAACAAGGTAGGGGCTCAGTGTTTTGTTGTCTTTAAGGCTGTATCTAAATCTGAGTGTGTATATTTGATTTTAGAAGAGGCTTTACATAAGGTGCTCTGGTAGCATAGTGGTTATGAATTGGGCTGCTAATCTTATGGTCAGCAGTTCAAAACTACCAGCTATTCCGTGGGAGAAAGATGAGGCTTTTAGCTCCCTTAAAGATTTACAGCCTCAGAAACCCTATGCAGGGGTCACTATGAGCCAGAACCGACTCCTGGGACATATAACAACAACATTCCTTTACTTGTGTCTCTAGACTCAGATTGTATGTAAAAAAGGGGATGGGGCTGTGAATAATCACTTGTATTGTATGTTGTAGGGTGCTAGTGTTGAGGTGGGTTTTGTGGAGTTTGGGGTATGTTCTTCTATCTGAATGCTTGGGTCTCCCTAACCTTCTCCTTCACTCTCACTATCAGTAGAATGCTAGAAATTTCTCCCATATGAGATTGGATAAAGGGACTCAGCAAATCCTGATGTTCCAGGCAACCTTTCGGGGAGAATTCAGGGGAATGATCCTCCTCCCTCTGTGTAACTTTCCAACCCCATTCACCCTTTAGGAGCTGGTGCCTTCCCTGGGTGTTATGAAGCAGAAATAATTGTGCAGGTGTGTGAAAATATATGTGGGTGCCTCTGAAAATGATGTGAACAGGTAATCACTTGTATCAGAATGTTCACAAATGTATCTGGTGTAAAATTGTATCAACAGAGTGTAATGTGCGACTTTATATGGAATGCATCACTTCAAGTGATGGGTCCCTCTTGTACCTGTGCCAGAGGAAGGTGAGTGCCCCTGGAGGTAGGAGCGGTATTGTGAACTGTGTGACTGTGTTCCAGCAGACCACTGCCTTTGTGTGTCAGCGTGAGTCTGAGTTTTCTGTCAGCAGCTCTGAGTTTCTGTGTATCTCTGTCTCTCTGTGTCTCTGCCTCACTGTGTGTGTCTCGCTCTCTCTTGGCTGGGAGGGGATTGGTCACGCATGACTCATCTTGAACCAAGCGGGGCTCCAGCGGCAGGGCGGCCGCCGCCGCAGCTGGAGGGGGAGGAGGACAAGGAGGAGGGAGAAGAGGAGGAGGACTACGAGGAGGGGGAGGAGGAGAAAGAGGAGGGGACCAGGGCCTTTCCAAGTTTGTCGGGACCTTCTTTGGAAGCAGCGGCGGCGGCAGCCAAGGAGGCCAGGACTGGGCGCGGGCCGGGGACCGGGACCGGGGCTGGGGCCAGAGCTGGGCTGGGAGCTGCGGAGCCGTTGCCTCCGCTCTCCTGCTTCAGCTTAGGTTCCTACTGTTGTCGTGGCCCCCCTCGGCGTGGCTCTACGCGCTGCGCTCCGGTTAAGCCCGCCGCTCCCTGGCCCATGTATTGGAAGCATGAGAACGCCGCCCCGGCGCTGCCCGAGGGCTGCCGGCTGCCGGCGGAGGGCGGCCGCGCCACCGACCAGGTGAGCCAACGAGCTAGCGGGTTAGAGGGTGAGCGGCCACGGCTAGGGTTGGCAGGGGCCAGGACCCAACCGGGCCGGGCTGGTGGCGGGTGGCGGTAGGGAGGAGGGGTTCGGGGGTGCGCCTTGAGTGTATGTACGTGTGAGCGCGCGCGAGCGGGGCGAGGGGGGGGTGGCGCGGAAAGCGGGAACACATTATGCAAATGTTGGAGGAATTTCTCAAAAAGCGATTTAGCAAAGACACAGGCGAATCAAGAGGAGGCGAGGCCGGTATTGTCCGTCTGAATAGGCGTTGATAGCGCCGATGCGCCAGGGGTTGTGCCGGCGCAACGCTGCGAATCCCGACGTGGGGCCGGTCCCGGGCGCGCCTAGGAGCTGGAGGGTGCTTTTTCCTCCTCCTGGGCGCCTCTGTTTTCTCTTTTTGGTTCTGTTTCGCCCCAGTTCTCGCCCCTATTTAGCTCCACGGTTCTCTCGGACTAGCACTCAAAAAGCGCGCAAATCCGTGTCAATATCGCCGCGTCAATTTCGCGGCGCGCTCAGTGCCTGCTGTTTGATGCTTCAGGCGCTCCAGGTTTTATTTTCCTCACCTTCCATCTCCTTTTTTTTTTCTTTCTTTCTCTCTTTTCTCCTTATCGCATTTTGTGCCGAGAGGAGGAGAAGGGAGCGAGGCGGGGGAGGGAGGGAAGGGGGATGGAGAGAGAAAAATTCGATTTTTAATTACTACCATTAAAAAATCAAATTTGCAATTCTTTGGGCGGCCTGATGGATCTCACTGATTGACAGTTGGAATTGACACTCTGGCTACCTCTTATCTTGGGCATTCACGACAATTTCTAATTGCAGGTAGTTTGTGTGTGTGCGCGTGTTTTTTTTCCCCCCTCAGAGGCTTGGATTGCAAGGGAACTAAGCGATTACTTCAAGAGCCACGGGTTAAGTGCAGGGAGAGGGGGAGAGAGAGGGAAAAAATCCAATCCAAATTCAAATTGCTTCATTAGAGAGACACCGCTTTTGTGGGGAAGGGCTTTAAATGCCCACTACAAAGTTAGGACTCATTGTTCGGCGCCGGTTTATATAACAGGCGCGGGGAGGCGCTGGGCTCAGGCTGCGCGGAGCTAGTTTTGCAGCCACCGTTGCCTGCGTTCGCTTACTCTACCTCCCCCCACCCCCCAGGTGATGGCCCAGCCTGGGTCCGGCTGCAAAGCGAACACCCGATGCCTTGAGGGAACCGCGCCGCCCACCATGGTGAGTCCTTTCGGTCCTGTCTCCAGCCCCTGGTCCCCCGCGGCCCGGTTCTGGGGACCTGGTCCAGCTTTCAGGCGCGGAATCGCTGCTCACGCGCTGAGCGACTTCTCGCGGGCGCCGCCCCTCTCTGATCCACCGTTTTGCGTCTGGGAATATGAACTTTGACTGTTCCCAGCACCCAAGACGCGTATGTTAAAAGTTCAGGTCGTCCCTTTCTCTCCAATAGGCCCTTCCATTACTGTCCCCTAGCCCAAGGCGCGGCATCCCGGGGGTATTTCGTTGTTATTTAGCACTCGAGATCCAAATTCGTCTACAAGGCAGCAGCAACTCTGGGCGCCGGGCTCAGCGCCCTGCTCTTCCTTTCTTCGCTACTGTAGGCTCAGTCGGACGCCGAGGCTTTGGCAGGCGCTCTGGACAAGGACGAGGGTCGGGCCTCCCCCTGTACACCCAGCACACCGTCTGTCTGCTCTCCACCCTCTGCGGCCTCCTCCGTGCCGTCCACCGGCAAGAATATCTGTTCCAGCTGCGGCCTTGAGATCCTGGACCGGTATTTGCTCAAGGTGAGACAAGGGCGGATGGTGTGTGTGTGCGCGCGCACGCGTGTGCGTGTGTGTTTGCACGGGTGTGCGCGCGCGGTGGGGAAAGGGGGAGGGTGCAGCCCAGAGGACTGCAGGGAAGCAACGTCGGCCTATTTACGAATCCTGGTTCACTAGCTACTTGATTGCGCCGCCGTGGGCAAGTCTTAGTTCTCTTTGAGAACTAAGAACCTTGAGTTCTCATCTGTAAAATGGGAGGAGTTTATTTTTACCTTCCTAAGCCACAGTGTTACAGAAGAAAAATAGAGTCATACTCACCTTCTGAGCTCCATCATCCCGGTCTGAAAATGGGGCGGAGGAGGCTGGGGACTCGTGTGAAAGAGGCCCGCGCTGAGACGCACCCCCCTTCCCCGCCCCCTCCTCAGGTCAACAACCTCATCTGGCACGTGCGGTGCCTCGAGTGCTCCGTGTGTCGTACGTCACTGCGGCAGCAGAACAGCTGCTACATCAAGAACAAGGAAATCTTCTGCAAGATGGACTACTTCAGGTAGGCTGCGGCCGCTGGGCCAGCAGTACCGCCGCAGGCAGGACCCGGGCGCGCAAAAGCCGCCATTGCTACGCGAGGTCTCCAGCTCCCAAGCCCGGGCTTTCTGAGTAAACCCCCAGTGCGCGGCTCGGGCCCAGCCCTCCGGTACAACGCCGCGAATCCGGAGCTCCAGGCCGCGCGCCGGTACAGTCACAGGTTCGGTCCTGCGATCCGCTTTTGGTACCTGTAGCCCTATGCATTTCGGTCGTGTCTCTGGTACCGCCTCGTGTCCCGCCAAAGTTTCAGACTCCAGTTCCTGCCTCCAGCGCCTCGGTCGAGCTCTGATGTTCCCGGCTCTAACTCGAACCTGTTCCGAATCCCGGCAGAGATATGACTGCATATCCATGCACCGCGGTTCTGGGTTCACGGTGGAACCCTTCTCACACCGTGCCCGGGGTCCGTCCCGAGCCGATCCCTGAGCTCGGCTTTATACTCTTACCCTAGCTCTGACCTCTACTCCGCTCTGAGTTCGAGTTCCTCGGGTACCAAGCACGAGGCCCCGATCCATCTCAGATCCGACCCCATATCCAAGTTTCTTGTCCTAAAACCCCGGCCTCACTCTCCGGTTCTGCCACAAGTCAGAGTCCAGCGTCGTTCGTGTTTCGCATTTCAGGTCTGGGGTCCCACACGAGTCTCAGGCACTCATTTTAGTCCCAGCTCCGTTGTCATTTCCCACCCCGGCTTGTACCTCTCCAGCTCGAGGCCGCCGGGATCTGAAGGGGGAGATCCAAGTAGCAGCCTTGACCTTGAGTAGTAGAATTGTTCTGGGCCTCGCTCTCTGCGCGGAGATGTTGCGTTCCATAGGTCAGGCTCCCACAGTAACCTCTTTCAATTGCTTGGGCCTTGATTGATTCTAGCCTCACTGTGGAGGTCTGGTCCCAGTCATGGGGTCGAGGTCACTGCGAGGTCAAGGTCACCGCGACTGCCCACCCCATCCTGGTGGTGGAAAGATGGAACAGGCCAGATATCAGACTAGGGCCAACAGAATTCCAGGAGACTGGATTGGTATTCGTTCCTGGGAGGGACGCTGTTCACAAGTGCTTTTCTCAGGAAGCGGAGAAAGCTGCTCTCCCACTCCCCCTCACCCACAGAAACCTTTCCCATCCTTGTCTCTGGAGAGGTCAGGCTTTCATCTTCTTGGGAAGACCTCCTCCTCCAAGAAGATCTTCTGAGGGTCAAAGAATCTGGTGGGAGGCAACACCCACCTTCCTACCCACTTGTCTTGAATCTCCAAGGTGGTGGAAAAGGAGAGCCTGACTCTAATGAAGGATGGGTGTAGGGGCTGGGGTGCTCTGGAAAACTATCAGAAGCATGGTGAAAGAAGTTCTTCCTTTTGTGTAATGAGTTTTGAAAGGGTGTGCATCTGGGGAAGGATGGGAGACTGACAAGTAGCTTAGGACCCAGTGTGCAATGAGTATATGTGTGCCATATTATCTGGCATCTGTGCACTTGGGCTGGATAAATGTGTCATTGAGCTGCGTCATAGGCGTTTGGATAGTATGTGTGTTCCTTTATTGACAAGCGATGTGTCTTTCAGTTCATGTGTGAATGTTGAGAATGTGTCTGTATGTACATGTTTGGGACTTTGAGTGTCTTTGTGTGTTTTTTTGCAAGGTAGTTAAGACAGGATTGTGGGGACAGGGTCCAAGGGGAGAGGCCGAGGTAGGGTAAGGGGACTTTGAAACCCCACCATTCCCTGTCCCCACTTTCTTCTCTAAAAGGACAGTCCTGCTTGAAGCCTTCCAGCTATGCATTGAGGGATCCATAGTACTATCCTATCTCTACATTTATGTCTGTGACTGTAGAACACTGCATGTATATGCCACAGGGAGGTGATCATTTTAGAGGGCATGTATCTACTTGTAATCAGACATGTGTGCTGTGTAACCAGAATGCGATGCCTCTACTTTTCCACCTGACTGGTTAGGGCAGACAACAGGGGTTAGAGTTATGTTTAGCCACCTTGCCACTCTAGGCCTGACTCCAATTGGTTTAAAAGAAAAAAGAAGGATGGAGGGACATATACAGCTGATGTTTTGGAGCTCCTTGGACTCATCAGGTAGTTAAGGACAGGGTTCCAGACTGGGGAACCCAACAGGATAGTGTCTGGGCCTGACCTGGTAGAGGCAGAACAGGACTCCTTCTCCTAGCATTTCTGGTGACAGTGGGACTGGCAGCCACTTGCTGATGTTTTTGCACTGTTTCTCCAGCCCCAGCTCATGCCCAGACTGAAGTGAACCTCCGTGGAAGCTGTCTTCTACTAGACCTTGTTGGAGTAGACCTAACTCCAGTGTTCGGAGCTTCTACCACCTCTAGCCATAGGGTGGAGGGTCGAGTGTCGAGCTGTGAGATAGCTGAATCTCCCAGGCTAACACTGAATCATTGCATGAGCTTAGGCAACTCACTGTGCCTCTCTGCTATCAGTTTCCAGTGTTATTTCTCTAAGCTGCCAGGGAGGCTAATGAATGGGGAAGGTTTGGTAATAACCTGTCAAGGTCAGGTATTGGGGGTGCAGGGAGTACTACATTGTTACCATTGGCAAGGTGGGCACTGGACAGGACCCTGTAATGTTATGCTCCCTCAACTCCTCATCTTCATACCATCCCACTCCCATGTGTAACTTAAGGAACAGGGTCTGCTTAGACTTCAGGTCTGAGCGTTAATCCTTTTCTAGTGACAAGAATCCCCAAAACAAAACTCAACCAGATTTTTTTTTTTTTTTTTAAGTGGAGAGCATAGAGGTTCCTAATAGAGGCCCCTGGGTGGAGTCCTGGTGCAGGATAATGCACTGGACCACAAAGTTGGTTTAAACCCCAAGGTTGGCAGTTCAAACCCATCAGCCACTCCTAGGAAGCCCTACACAGGGTCCTTATGAGTCAGCACCGACTCAACCAATGGCACATAACAACAACATTCCCTGAGTAGACGGTCCAATTGTGGCTCTTCTGGGGAGAGGCCAGGGCTTTTCTCGTAAGTTTTCCTTCAGCCAGCTCTCCCTGCAGACATAACCTAGTCCCTGGCAGTCCTACCTGTATCAAAAATAATCAAACCCAGAAAAAGAAGAGGCAAAAACAGCAGAGCTCCATGCAAGGACTGTTGTGTGCTGGTGTGCTCTGAACAACAGCCTAGGCGCCCAGTGGTTGCCGTGAGGAAGCTCTTCCTGGAGACAGTGTGAACAGGGTATGGTAGACTGAGTTCCCTCCTTGAGCGCTGGGGCTCAGGGAGGGGTTGGATGCTGAGATTCTCTAGGCCTCTGTTTCCTGAAGTCTGATGGTATGTGGACTGGAGGACTGCCCCAAAGAGAGGCTAAGCTCTCCCATTAGAGTGGGTGAGAGAGAGGGAAGGAGTGCTCAAGGCCTCAAGGCCCTCTGGTCCTCTGAACTCTTTTCTATTCCCCATCTCTTTACTTCTTGCTGTTTTTCATCTGTCCCTCCTTTAGTCCTCTTTGGCAGAACCAGCGTTGGCGGCTCAGGAAGTTAAGAGTTTGGAAAAGAATTCCAAGAGAGGGAGGCTACAGTGTTTGGGGGGGTGGGGGTTGCCCTTAGTTCATTTGCATTGCTGGAAAGGGTGGGTTCCACTAGCTCTGTGCCTTTGGCCTCCCTGCCTCTATTTCTTCAACTCATCCTTCAAACAGGAACCTCACCAACCCTCTAGGTGGGCTCAACTAGATTCCCACCTCTTTTTACTAGATAAGAATCCTAATAGAAAAAAATTACTATGTGAGGGATGAGATATTGCTTTTTATTTCTATACTTTTTTAAAAATTTTCTATGAAGATCATTTTTCTTTCTGTTTTCTTCCAAAAATCAAAGAAAAGTCATTGGGGGGAAAAATAGTATTCTTTGCTGTGGCTTTCGAGTCTTCACTGCCCTCAACAATCACACTCCCAGACATCTGTCCACAGAAGGGAGGGGTCCTTCTGCCTGCTTGCAGCTGCTGCCCTCCAAATAGGGCATTGCCTGCTCTGCAGTACCCTCCTGGCTCCTACGGCATCCTGGAGCACATGTCCATTGTATAGCTGGGTAGACTGAGGTCTTGGGAGCTGGGAGAGAGAAAAACAAGTGCTCAGGGTCACAAAGTAAAGGAGACAGTGAAGAGTGTCTGGACAGTGGGTGAGAGCATCCATCATCCAAATGTATTGCATCCTTCTCCATGCCGGGAACTGTGTTGAGCCCTTTACCTGCATTCTCTCATTTTCTCCTGGGGGGGCGGTGTCTGCCATCTGAGTATGTATGATGCGCCCAGCCCATAAGCCCCACTTTATAGAAAGGGGAACTTCCTGAGACCCTAAGTGATGAAATCACACTCATCAGGGTCTGGATAGGCTCCCTGACAGACTGGCTTCACCACTCCAATACGCTACTTCTTTATTTGAGCGATCACAGCTGCTCCTCTGTGAAAGCTGGGATCCATGGAATGATAAAAGCATCTCTCTGCAGGTCTTGATCTTCCCTGCCCAATTTGGCTGGTTCCTCAGTGATCATAAGAACACCCACTGTATACTCAGATGTGTGTCTCTCCTTGTGTTGGTCTTGAGAGCACTAGAACAAGAACAACTTTGACAAGATCAGATCACTATGGTACCTGGCCCTCTTATCTTCTAGCTGTGGGAATGGGGAGTGAAGGGTTAGCCACCTCCCCTTAGTTTATAGGAGTCGTGGTGTGGCACTATAAGATAAGCACTGAACTGCAAATAGCAATGTCATAGGTTCATTGGAAACCCTATACAGGATCGCTTTGAGTACCAAATGGATGCACTTAACAACTTGCGTTTATGGCGTTAGGGGTTCTGAGAGTATCCAGGGCTGGACCAAGGCGGCTTGAGTTCCTGGCCCACTGCTTGTAACATGTGATTTAGGGCACACACTCACACAGCCCTCTCTGGCCTCCCGAGTCTAGCCTAACCCAGTCTGTGGGCTCCAGCGGGAGAACCACCCCCTCCCCCAGAGCGAGGGTCCCCGGGGAGGCTGAGAGCCGGGAAGCGGCCCCCCACCGCGGCCGCGAGCGGCCCAGCGGCCGCCAGCTGTTGGGGGACAGATGTTGGAAGAGCGCGGGGGAGGGGCCTGGGACAGGACCTCCGAGGCGGCGGGGCGTTTTAACCTCTTAATTGCTGGTTCCGTTTTCTCCAACTTCTCTGAAGGACTTGCCTACAAGGGAGGGAGCACAGGGCTTCACCTCCAAGCTCTCCATTTTCACACATGAAATCTAAGGCCATCAAGTGAGCATCCTGAACACAAATTAAGTGAGTTCTAGTTTGAGTTTCCACACCCGGCCTTCATGACTCACATTGGTGTTTCCACATGGAGATTCAGGAGTAGCTTAATTACCGGGAAAGGGTGGTGGGGAGACTCTCATGGGCTCCGGATAGTTGAATTTGTTAATTACTAAGGGCGTACTGGAGTTCTGGTGTACTGGACTTACTAAGGGCTTACTGGAGTAGGATAAGCACTGGACTATAAAGTCAGTTTGAACTGCAAAGTCGATGGTTCAAACTCACCAGCTGCTCTTTGTAAACCCTATAAAGGGTTGCTATGAGTCGGAACCGACTCGACAGCACTTAACAACAACAACGAGGGCGTAGTAGGGACCAAGGAAGGTTGGCCAGGTGAATCGGCACGATCGCTGTTACCCAAATATCTCTAAATGCTCCTGCACTCTGGAAATAGGGGGAAAGGCGCGCGTTGCTCATCCAGCTCCTTTCAGCAGGCCCCTGGATGCGCGGCATCTGTCGAATACCTCTCCATCCCCCAAATCTCTCGGTGTTTCCCGCCATCGCCCAGGGCGCACCAGGACCCAGGGAAGGGAGCGCGGGGCCTGGACCTCACAGCAAGGCGGGGGTGGCAGTAGGCGCGCTTCTTGATCCCTTCGGTGTTCCGTTAGCGGTTTCTGAGCGCCAGTTTCTTGAAATTTCGTTGTCTCCGCCGCTGACTTCGCTGCTTCCGGAATCCGGCTCGGGCCGCGCAGCCGTTCTGGAAAGAAGCCTGTTTGTCAGAGCATCGATCCGCAAGCCTCCTACTGCCCTTTTTCTTTTGTCTCTGACCCCGGCTCTGGGTTGGGGACTCGCTGCTGGAGCTATCCACACACATCCAAACCCGAATAATAATTTCTTGAAGGATCCAGTAAGGACGATTTCGTTGGTTGCGCTGAACCACGGCGAACGCGGTAGATTCTTGGGGGGGGGAGCACACACCTGGCATTTAAGGTGACAGGCTTACGGTATTTCGCTCCTTGGCCTCGGGGACCAGGGATAGTTGTTTGGAGGTAACTCGTGGTGTCTGCCTCGAAATGCCGTGATGGAACCATTGCAAGTGACTTATGTAGGCGCAGGCGCAGGCCAGGGACTGGGGAGAGAAGATCCGGCGCCACGCAGGGACTCTTGGGCGCGTCCCTTGGACGTGCCCTGCAAAGCCAAGCGCGAGGACCCAGGACCGCACACTTGGGCGCAGCGCACGGGCGGAGGCGCACCGCGACCTCCGGCCGAGTCGCAGGCGGTCTCCCGTAACTTCTGAGAGCTGGGATCATTCCTGTTCTGTATCACCCACTCCTCTGTTTGGACATCTCTCTCCTCAACCCTTGCCTCCAGAGCAGGCTGAGCCCCAGGTTCAGTTCTCTGGAGTTTTCAGGGCCAGCGACCTGAAGTGGCGATCTTGCAGTCAGATCAGTACTGCTTGTTCATCTATCCCAAATCCTAGCTTCCCCATTCCTGCACCTCCAAGAGGCCCAACCCCACACTTAGTGTGGTCTTAGTCCAGTCATCCCCCCATCTGAACCATACACTCCGTTTGTGCTAAATGAGCACCAGAACCCCCATTTTGAGGGGTTACAATGAAATTGAGGGTGTGTGTGATAATGGTGCTGCACCCCTACCTGGGGCACTTCTATCTCTTGAACCACATATAATCGAAAGCCAGAAGGTGTTCCCAATTTGGCTAGCCTGGCAGCCCCACAGCGGGATGGACTGAGGTGGGGAAAGCAGTTTCCTCTTCCCTTTACTGCAGGATTGGCATTGGAGACCACTGGTGGTGCTGGACTCTCCCCAGGGGAAGCAGAATTTCTGCTGTCTGGCATACCCTCTGCTTAGTCGGCTGGTTAACTGGTCAAAGGCACACAGTGTGCTATAGAGTCGGTTCCCACTCATAGTGACCCTGTACAGGGTTTCTGAGACTGTAAATCTTTACGTGAGCGGAAGCCTCATCTTTCTCCCAGAACAGCTGGTAGTTTCGAACTGCTGACGGTGAGATTAGCAGCCCAATTCATAACCACTAACGCTACCAGAGCTGCCTGTTAGACGTTTGCTTTCCAGGTCACTGTCCCCTTGCTCTTTGGCGGAAAGAAAGGGTTTTGGGATGCTGTGGGGAACTGAGACTGGCTGAGCTGGAGCCTCTTAGTTCCACACTCAGACTCCCAAGACCATTTTTTTACTGGCAATGGCTTGAATTTGCCATGGCAGAGGAGACTGTAACCAGAGTGTTTGCAGAACTGGTTTTTCCACGCACTCGCAAGCGTCTCTGAATGTCCCTCTGGGTGGAAGGGTGGTAACTGAGGACACAGAGGCAAATCTTCTTAGTTCCTTTCCTCAATGGAGGTTAGGACTTTTTAGAGGGGAAGAACGTATAAACCTGGGTGGTCAGCTTTGAGAGGGTGAGTAGGAGCTTTGGGATTTTGCAGGGGGTGTATTGGGAAAGAGGCAGGTGTGCAGGGGCTTCTGGTTGGGAAAGTGCTCCAAAGGGCCTAGAGACCTACCTGGTGCTGACCTTCCAGTGTGCCTGACTGGGACTCATGCTTAGGGGAAGAGGAAGGAAGATTTGAGGAACATTAGGAAGGAGATAGAGTCCTGGTGTGGTACTGTAGGATAAACAATGAACTGCTAGCCTTAAGGTTGGTAGTTCAAACCCACCAGCTGCTTCATGGAAACCCTATCCAGGGTTACTATGAGTTGGAACTGACTTGATAGCACTAACAACAATCACAACAACAATAAGGGAGGAGATGGGCTTGAATGGATGGGGCCTGCTGGGCTTAGTAAACCCCATTGGGTGGATCCTGAGGCACAGTGGAGCCACCAAAGGATTTTAAACAGGGAAGGACAGGGTTCCATGTGCACCCTGGAAACTTCAATGTGGCTGCTGTGTGGTAGATGGGTTGGTAGGGGCAAGACTGGAAGTAGGAAGACGAAGTCAGAGACTGTCAGTGAAGCAAGTGGATGACAGAGCGTGGTCTAGAAGGATGGCAATGGCGATGGAATGGGGAGATGACGCCACACATGCTTAGGAAACAGAATCAAGGGTGCCCGATCATTGGTTGGTGTGTAGTTAAGTTTGCAAGTTTGAAGCACTGGGTGAGTGGTGGTACCATTCCCTAACAATGAATGAACAGCAGAAGGAACAGATTAAAGGATTGCCACAGGGCCTCAGAGTCAATCATCCACCAAAGGAATAAACTGGCTTTGGTGCCAATGGGTCAGATCTGGGTTGCCTTGTAGACAAGGGAGAACTGGACTATGTTGTTTCCTGGAGGGACTCCTAGCTTGGTGGTAGAGGTAACCACACTCAAATAGGAACTCTACCGAGTGGGGAAAGAGAAGAGGCAGAACCACATAACAGATGGGTAGGCACATTTGAGCTGGGCTTCTGGTCTGGTTAGGATTTCTTTTGCCTTTTTAACATTCCGTGTTACAGTGCTCTGAGTCTGGTTCCTTGGGCTGGAATCCTGGCACATGCTTGGAGTAAAACATTAGACAAATAGTAGTCATTGCTCTTGTCATCTAATTTAACTCGGGGCAAGGACAATGAGAACTGAGAGGGGTTTAACAATTTACCCAGGGTCACATAGCCAGTAAGTTCATATCTGTCTGTTCTTCCAAGAAACTCTGAGCTTCTCTTTAGCAGCATTACAGCTCATTCCTCTCTGGAGTTAGAAAGGATTCCTATCCTTTCCAGCAGTGTGACCTTAGACAAGTTAATTTATCTTTCTGTTCCCAAGTTTTCTTATCTGCAAGAGGAGGAATATTTGAGATAATCTATGTAAAACACTTAGAATCTTGCTAGGCACATGGTAAGTGTGTCTACTTCATTATTATTTTATTTTCCTAATAGTCCCCGGTGTGGCACTGTGGGTTAATGCGCCAGACTGCAATCAGTTTGAACTGCAAGGTCGGTGGTTCCAAATCACCAGCTGCTCCCTGGAAACCCTACACAGGGTCGCTATGGGGTGGAAATGACTCGACTGCACTTAACAACAACAACATGTATATTAATAAATTAATTAATATCATATAAGAATACAAGCATAAGTAATTATTGTGGAAAGTTTGGAAAACCCATAAAAGAACCAAGAAGTAAAAGAAATCATCCACCAGCTCACCATCTAGGTGGGACTTTGTTGCAGAGGGGTGGTGGGTCCAGACAAAGGGAAAAATGAGAGCTTCAGTTTGGAGGCTTGGGAACGGGAGTGTTGGCTGTCTGAGCCTCACCATACCCCTCCCCCCCATATCCTGCAGTCGATTTGGGACTAAGTGTGCGAGGTGCGGCCGACAGATCTATGCCAGCGACTGGGTGCGGAGGGCGCGTGGCAACGCTTATCACCTGGCCTGCTTCGCCTGTTTCTCCTGCAAGCGCCAGCTGTCCACGGGTGAGGAGTTCGGCTTGGTGGAGGAGAAGGTGCTGTGCCGCATCCACTACGATACCATGATTGAGAACCTCAAAAGGGCAGCGGAGAACGGTAACCAGCCGGCACATCGCAGCATCCCGCTATAGCTCGTCCCCTAGCCCTTTCCTACTTTCCTACTCTGCCCCAGCACCCTAGGAACTGCCCACAAGCCTCTCCCTAGATGGCCTAGAGGCAGGGGTGGGGGATGGGGGAGGTGGGGGCGGGGGAGTTGCCCTGGGAGCCTGTGCTGCTTACTCCACCATTTTTCTCACACTGTGTGACTCTGGGTAAGTCACTGCTTTCTGTGTTTTCTCGTCTCTAAAATGGGGCTATGGATAGGACACCCTCTCAAAGATAGCTGAGCTCATGTAGTAAAGCCAGGAGACAATGAATGCTAGAGATGTTTCTCCTAATGGAGTAGTTTACTCTAATGGACAGCCTTCATTGGCCTGTCTCATCCCTTCAAACTTCCTGGAGAGAGGACATGACCCTATACCCCCAACTTCATACCACCTTAGCAGTTCTGAACCTGTGGTTTAGGGTGGGGAGTTCTTCCTGGACCAATGTCTCTAACTGTAAGGGGAAAGTGGTCAGGCTTCTGAGTTAGGATGCCTGGGCTTCAATTTTGCTTCTGACTGTCTGTGCTGACATAGGATGTTTCTTTCTCTCTCTGGGCCTCACTCTCCCCATCTGTGACAGATGGATGTTGGACTAGAATGATTCCTAAATCTTTTCTCTGACCTTGTGATTCCCAAGACACACAGGGCAGTCGGGTCCAGGTCTTTGGTGGAGGTGGCGGTGATGGAAAGCAGCATTGTGTGAGCTGAGTCACAGGTGGGATGGGGCTGGAGAAGAGGAGTAAAGGCTGTGGAAGCTGCTAACTTCTCTGTAGCATGAATTATTTTATGTAACCCTGGAGTCTTTGTGTGACACTGTAGGATAAGCACTGCTAACCACAAGGTCGGCAGTTCAAACACACCAGCTGCTCCTCAGAAATCCTGTACAGGCAGAGTTTCTATGAGTTGGAACTAACTTGAGGGTACTTAACTACAGCAACAAGAAATAGGTGCAGTATGCCTATTTTGTGGGTGAGGAAATAAGCAAAAGTAAACACAATCTTTTATCTATCATACTGTACCACCCACCTTCAACTTCCAGGACCCCTTAATCAGAGTTTACAAGGTTAGGGAGACAACTGGGATGTGACTGTCTCTATGGGTTTAATTTCCGCATCTGAAACGCAGGCACACCAATCCTTGTCCTGCTTGCTCCCCCAGAGGATAATATTACCACAAAATCTCCATCCCCAGCTCTGTTCCAGGGAGGAGACATGGACCAAGTACTTCAGTTTCCAGGCCTAGCCTGGGGACCAGTTGGAAGCCCAGAGGGGCCACATCAGGACTATTGCTTTCTCTGGCCAGGATCAGGGCTAAGGGGGCCTAAGTGAGGAGCAAGTGAAGCTGGAGTGTTACAAAGTTATCTGCAGTGGTAGGCAAATTGGACTGTAAACTCAGGAGTCAAAGCCAGAGCTAACATCTTTGATGATCGGGCCCCACTAGTGATCCCAGGTTCCTTCCAACTAGGACTACCCTTAGTCACTGTCTTGCCAGTTACACACTAGATCTCAAAGCCAGGCCTGATCCCAGACTCCTGCCCTGCAGAGGGCCTTGAAGGCTGGAGTCTTGGAACTCCCTTATTGATCATCCTTACTGTTGGCTGCTGTTTTACTGTTTTCAGACTTAAAAAAAAAAAAAAAAAAAAAAGGTTGTTGTAGAGAAACTAGAAAAGATGGTTAAGAAGAAAATAAAAATCATCCCAAATGCCTCCACCCCTCATATTTTGATATGTATCTTTCCAGATTTTTTCTATATATGTATATAGGAGTGTTTCTTTGTTTTTGCCCAACATGCCTTTTTTCCTAATTACAATATGTTAACAATAAATTGTGAGCAGTGGTAATCTCTGGGTGCTGCAATTATTGGTGATTTTTATTTTCTTCTTTGTGCTTATCTATACTTTGGAGTTTTTAAATAAGGAGCATGTATTTTGATTCAGAAAAATGAGGTATTAAAGTGAAGTATTAGTGGTTAGTATGGTTATGGAACTAATACAGGTGGAAAGAGAATACTGAATATATATTCTGGTTAACAAAATTAAACCTTAAAGAAATAAGGTGACATATGATTTTTGTAAAAAACTGTAAACATTATAGAAACATCGAAAGTAGAGAGTGTCCTTAATTGCTTCCCTGAACGGTAACTACTGCTAACACCTTGGTGTATGTCCTGCCAACATTTTTCTTCTACCCGTATTACAAAATGGGACCACGGTTCTAATCGCCATCACCAGTCGGTTCCCTTCAGTCTAGCTAGGGAAGCCCAGTTTGGGGGGCTGGGGTCAGGCAGATTTCAGAATCCTAGACGAATGGGGCAGAAGTTTTGGTTTTCTTTTCTCAGAAGCAGTTTCTTCCGCCGTAAAGCGGGAAAAACGGCGCACCTTCCCGGGTGCTGTGAGATGTCAGGCATAGAGTAGAAGCTTCCCATATGGAGCGAATGCTCAGAAATGGAAACTCCTCTCCCAAACACTGGATTCGGAAACAAGGACCCTAGAATCCCATCTCCCAGCCAACTCCTCTCCTAACCCTTCCTGGGACCAATTCCCCAGACCCCCATCCTTTCCAGATTGCCACTAGAAGAGATGGGGTCACGTGGTCAGTCACTTTTGTCGTCTCCAGGTAACGGCCTCACGTTGGAGGGGGCAGTGCCCTCAGAACAGGACAGTCAGCCCAAGCCGGCCAAGCGAGCGCGGACGTCCTTCACTGCTGAACAATTGCAGGTACCAGCGCAGAAAGCGCGTAACCCAGGCAAGGGCGGGTCCTCAGAGTGGGCGGGGATTTTGGGGCTTCTGGCTCCGCCCCCTCGGCCCAGACCCGAAGGCGGCGTAGAGGGGCCGCAGCTGACTGGGGCGTGGCCGCAACCTGAAGCCTGTGATTGGGTCGGGGTCACCGAGACCTCGGCACGCTACAGCCTCACTGTCCTCCCCCACCTCCTACTCCAACCCCTGGCGCCCGGCAGGTTATGCAGGCGCAGTTCGCGCAGGACAACAACCCCGACGCGCAGACACTACAGAAGCTGGCGGACATGACGGGTCTCAGCCGGAGGGTCATCCAGGTGGGGCCGGGTGAGGGCGGAGCCTTAGGGTCTGGGCGGGATGTAGAAACCTGGAGGGCGGGCCTGGACTAAGTAGAGGGGCTTTGGAGCAGGGGGTCGGGACGCACGTGGCGGAGCTTCCTCAACCAGTGGCGAGGCGCGTCCTACCTGTTTCCGCGAGGCTGAGCCTGCTGAGCCTGTCGTTCCAGGTGTGGTTTCAAAATTGCCGGGCGCGTCATAAAAAACACACACCGCAGCACCCTGTACCGCCCTCGGGGGCGCCGTCATCCCGTCTCCCCTCTGCCCTATCCGACGACATCCACTATTCCCCGTTCAGCAGCCCCGAGCGGGCGCGCATGGTCACCCTGCATGGCTACATTGAGAGTAAGTGACAAGCGCGCGGGTCTACAGGAGAGGGTGACACAGAGGATCGCGCCTGGGTGGTCTGGTCGAGGCCAAGACATAGTGAAGCCTTACAGAGCCTCACGAGTGAAGACCTGGGTGCTGGGGGTCAGGGAAAAGGGAGAGAGGGTTCGATGTTTGTCCCCATTGGTCAGAACACTTAGAGCAAGTAATGCAGTCATTGAAAAAAATACTTTCCAAGCTTCCAGTCTATGCCCGGGGACTAAGGAGAGAGCAGGATGCGTCTCTGCCCCCATGAAATCTGCACTCTTGAGTGGAACACAGAGAAGAGTATCATTTTCATTGTATTGATTTTTATAAGAAAGGTTGTTAAGTGCCGTCGAGTTGGTTTCGACCCATGGCGACCCTATATAGAGTTTCCAAGGAGCGACTGGTGAGCTTGAACCTCTGGTACGAAAGGATAGGGTTTCCGAGGAGCAGCTGGTGAGCTTGAACTGCCTACCTTGCAGTTCAAACGGCTTTGCAGTCTGGGACATTAACCCACAGCACCATACCAGGATTCTGATAAGAAAGGTAGTGGCTTGGAATATTTAAATACGCGGGTCTGGGGTGGCCTCTCAGCAAACTGAGACGACTGGACAGGAGTCAATGAAGCACAAACAGTTGGGAAGGAAGAGTGTGGGCAGGCTCTGTTCCAGCAAGGATAGTGGCATGGAAGCATTACGTTGAGTAGAAGGCTGGAGCAGCATTAACCCAGGCTCTGGGACGTTGGGCAAAGTCACCTAGCCTCCTTGAGCCTTGGTTTCCTTAGTCGTATACTGGAATAACAGTACTTGTCTACCTGGCAAGGTTGAGAGAATCCATTCCTGCATTCAGTAAATATTTTTTGAGTGCCTTTCTGGGTTCTAAGCACTGGGATACAACAGTGAGCACAACAGACCAAAGACTATCTTTGTGGAGCTCCTATTCCAGAGTGAGTGATGGGTGGAGAGACAGTGGACAAATGAAAGAGCGGAGGGCATGTCAGCCATGAATGAGTGCTATGGGAAGTCATGGTGGAGTGACCTTTGAGCAGGACCCTGGATGAGTGAGGGGGTAGCCATGAACGTTTCTAAGTGATGTGCATTCCATAAACTGTGTGTAGCAGATTTGGTTTCCTTTCTCTTTGGGGTTGTTTCCATTGATCATTTCCTTGAAGCTGGGCATGACCAAAAAATAGAAGTGGCCACCCAACTTTTTCCTATTCAGACTTCAGGAAAAAAGGTTAAGGCGGAAGAGATTAGAGAGAGGACCTGCTGTGTACTGAGCCCCTGCCATTTGCCAGAATCTATATTCTGACTAGACTGTCCATGTCACTGTCTGTGTTGTAGAGATGAGGAAACCAAAGCCCCCTCCCCCCACCCCTCCACAGTAAGGTAGTGGGAGCCAGGATTCCTTAATGGGTAAGTGTGGGTTTAGGAGTCACACTTCCAGGCTTCAAACCCCACCCACTGCCACTTACTAGCTATTTAATCCTAGGTAAGTTTCTTCCTGTTGTTGTTAAGTGTCATTGAGTCGGTTGGACTCACAGTGACCCTGTATAGGATTTCTGAGGAGTGGCTGGTGACTTTGAACTGCCGACCTTGCACTTCAAATCTACCTTGTAGTCTTCTTTATTCAGTTTCTTCATCTGTAAAAATGAAGATAATAGGAGTAACTAATCTCAAAGTAAGGAGTTCTGGTAGCATAGTGGTTACGAGTCAGGCTGCTAACCTCATGGTCAACAGTTTGAAAATACCAGCCGTTCCATGGGCGAAAGATGAGGCTTTCTGCTCCTGTAAAGAGTTGCAGGATCACTATGAGTTGGAACCGACTCCATGGCATACCACCACCACCACCAGTCTCAAAGTGCTGTTGTAAACGTCAAATGAGGTAACTGATTTAAAGCCTTCAACACTTAGTAAGAATTCACTGCTATTGTGATTTTGGTAGTAGTTTTGGTTGGCAGAATAGGAGTCTAGAGTCCCCTTTTAGTGTCCTGACTACTGCACTAGGCTGCCAGTTGAAATCATTCCCTTTTATACTTTTCCATTTCTCAGTCATCTGCTCAGTATGAGGAACTTTTCTAAGACTTATGTTGAAGCTTAATGCACAGAGTTCAATACATAAAACCCTTGATTGTCTGTTAAAGGCACCAAGGATCAGAATCGACTCTCTAGGTTCCAGGGGTCTGGGCAACAAGCTAGCCCTTCATGTGGACAGTTGATAATGGATCCAGGTGACCCTCTTGGGAGTGGGACCATGGCCTCCAGAGTTCTGGCCAAAACTGCCCATTTGTTAACACATTGATTCCACTGCCCACATGCTTCCTCTCCAGCTGCTTATGCCTCACTAACTCCTACAATCTCAGTTTACTGAGAGGCAGCCCCAGACCCATATCTTTGTTGACCATGCCTAGACCTGTCTTTACCGCCTAGAGGAGGGACTGAAGGTACCCCTTTCTTATCCCTTTGAGGCGGAACTCAGCTTGGGGCAGGAGGTGTCCAAGGTGGCTGAATTTTCGGCCTCTTGCCATGTGACTGAAAGTCATCTCATCCTTTTGCTTTACCATTAACCAAAGTCATGGGGTCTGGAATTTTCTGAAGTTTACCAACTGGGAAGCTGATGAAAATGTTAAGACTCATCAGACTCCAGAAAAATGAACTTTTGCTTTGCAATTAACAAAAGCCACAGGATCCTGAGTTTCCTAGAGCCTTACAGCTTAGAATGTGATAAAAAAAATCTTTGGAATCATTTCCCAGAAAAATGCATAAACACACATAGTTTTCTGTGTAGTTTCATAGTATTCATGGATTTTTAGAACACTCCATCCAGGTTAAGAATTTCCAATTAAATTAATCTGTTTTATTCTACAGATAGGGAACTGTGACTCAGAAGTTATAGTTACTTGTCCCAAGTCACATAAGTTATAAGTCTCTGTCGAAAGCTTTTTGCGCTGTGACCAAAGAGGATGAAGTCAAAGGAAGAAAGAGGCAATAACCTTTTCCACTATAGTGATAAACAGGCTGAAGCATGAGAGATTTTGATCAGACATAAGGATTGGGAAATCCCAGTAGTTTTAGATGTTAAAATTGGGGATAGAAATTTATTCAACAAATATTTAAAGAGTACTCACTAGATGAAGCCTTGGTAGTGACACTGTGGGTTAATGCGCTGGATTGCAAGGTTGGTTTGAACTGCATGGTTGGCAGTTCAAGCTTACCAATTGCTCCTTGGAAACCCTATACAGGGTCCCTATGAATCAGAACTGACTCGATGGCACTTTGCAACAACACTAGATGCCAAGCTTCATTCTAGGTGCTGGAGATCTACTATGATCTAGAATCTAGTAAACAGACAAAAATTTCTGTCCTCAGAGATTGTATTCTGGTTGACAATGACAGATAATATCATATAAATAATAAAAAGATATAGTAAGTTAAATGATGGTAAGTTCTAAGGGGGGAAAAACAGCAGGGAAGGGAGGATGGGGGGGTGGAGGTGGGTTTGGTGTTGAGTAGTTGTAATTGTACCTAGGGTAGTCACGGACGGCTGTCAGGAAGAAGGTGACATCTGAGCAGAGCCCTTTAGGAGGTATGAGGATAAGCCTTGTAGAGACCTGGGGGATAAAAAGGTACAAGGCTCTCAGGAAGGATCTTAACTGGTAGGGTGCAGTCTTGCTTGAAGGAGGCATTCACTGCATACAAATTGATGAGTGTTTAGCTATGGGTGGTACAGTTGTACCCTATATGGTACAGTTGTACCATATAGCATTTTATAGATTATAACGACTGTCATGTAATAACTTGTCAACCAGCTCTATTGAAACCTTGCCCAGGCTTACCCAACTGGTAACTGACAGGTGATAGTGGTCCCAGGACTGTAGCTACAGAGTACGGGGCAGGTGGGATCCTGCATGGAGGCTGGGGGATTGGCACCAAGGCATCCTCTCGTTTACAGGTCAGGTACAATGTGGGCAGGTCCACTGCCGGCTGCCTTACACCGCACCCCCTGTCCACCTCAAAGCGGATATGGACGGGCCACTCTCCAACCGGGGTGAGAAGGTAAATAGAGCCAGGCTGGGGCTTGTGGGGCTGCAGCTCTCCTGCCGAGGATGGGTTTCTGACAGCATTCCTTGTCACTGGGCGGATGTCATGCACTTTGTGATGGACCCTCTCTGCCCAGAACACTCAGGCTACTGTCCCCTAGGCAGCCACCCTATGCAGCTCTGGTGGGTTCTGTGTATGTGCACTGCCATTCCTAAGGGTATCCCTTTAGACCCCTTACCAACAGTTAGTCTTCTCCAGATCTGTGACTTTTGTGTTTTTACTGAAGTTTTGAGGTTCCAGGGAGGGCTTACATCACATACCACTGGTTTCTTCTCCTTTTCATTCCTGTCTCTTAGGATGGACATCTGTATAGATGGGGGTCCAGGGTCTTAGCAGGTCAGCAGGTAGTATCCCTTGGTTAGTCAGCTCACATTCTTTGTGGAATCTGTGTCTCTGGTTTTCTCAGGCATTAGAACTAACCAAAGATATCTCCAGGCCTGTGGCATGAAGGTATTTCAAAGCACTTGAACCTTTTGCTAAATCTTTTCTGGAGATGAAAGTGGATGGGGCAGCAGTGGGCTAAGTCTCAGAGAGTGAAGGGGCCTTATCTCCTTCTTAGCAGCTCTGAGACTGATTCCTCACTCTTAGCCTTGAAAGCCATTACTCTAAGACAACCCCTCACTTTAGAAATGGGGAAATTGAGGCATAGGTTGCTCTAGGTCACAAGGCCTGGATGAGAACCTGTGCATTTATTCATTCATGCACATTTTATATGTACTGACTTGCTCAGCAGCCCTGAGTCAGTAGCCAGGGATACAACATGGTCCCTGTCTTTGAGGAGGCCACAGTCTAGACGGGGAGACAGATCCCAGCAGTGATAAAGTGCGATCAAACTATGATGTGGAAGTCCAGGGTCCTGAGGAGGGCACAGGAGAGACACTGAGAAGACTTTCCAGAAGAAGGTCCCATCTAAACTTGGAAGTGGAGTGAGAGTTTGTTGGGAGGCAAGAAGAAATGTTCCTGGAACTGTCATGTGTCTCAGGGAACCCTGAGAGATTCCATGATGTTGGCCCATGGGCTTGGAAGGAAGAGTGGTGTGAGGCAGGGTCTTGGGGCTGCCAGGTGGAAAAGCCTGGATTTGCAGTAGGGGGATCAGGAAGACCTGTCTCAGAAGCGTTTCTGTAGCAGCCTCAGAGAGTCTGGGTTGGCAAGTGTGCAGGGAGCCAGTGAGTCAGTGGGTGTGGTGTTCCAGGGAGAGACAGTGAGGGCTGTAGAGATGGAAGGGCCTTAAATGGGACCCTCCCATCCAGCAGATCCTGGTCTTGGCATGTCTCACAATCACCTGGGCCCCTTGTAAAGGTTCAGATTGCAAAGCCTCACACCTAGAGAATTTGGGGAGCTCTGGGGTCGGGCCTAGGGATCTATCTGCATTCTTCCAGGACAGTCCCTGCCACTCCTCCTCCTGACTGAGCACCTGTTGTACACAGGGCTCTGCACTAGGCACAGTGGGGGGAAGATGTACATCCTCGTTGTATAGATACCATTTGTAAGTATCTTGCAGAATCTGGAACTGGGTTGAATGGTGGTAGGTGAGAATGCCCCAGATATGTCCCCTCTGATGTTGTCGTATTCACAGGAAGAGCTGCTGTCTGTAGAGGGCCTCCTCTGTTAGCCACTGGCCCTTTACACACACCTTCTGGTTGATGCCTCCCTTCTACTGTGGGCATGGGGATGGCCATCCTCATGGTAAAGATAAGGGAATGAGGCTCAGAGAGGGGACGTAGTGAGTCTTGCAGGCTCTGAAGCTCACACAGTTCAATACTTGATTCCCTTTGTGCTACACTTTACAGTTTACACAGTGTGCTCTTGGACTTCATCGTCCACAGCCTTCCTGTAAGGAAGGTGGGGATGATTATAATCAACTGCCTGACTCCAAGCTGACCTTGATTCCAAGAGCAGCCCCCTCTTGCAGGAGAGCATCCACCCATCAAGCCCTGGCATGGGACTACAGAGGCGAGCTGCCCTTTTCCCTGCTCTCAAGGAGCTTGTGGTTTAGAGCAGGAGGCAGGCAGCTACACCCCAGGGTAGGGATGGGGCACTTAACATGGCTTCTAAGGACCCAGAAGAGGGAGTGATAAGCTCTCGGGGGAGGGGAGGAGGAAGCAGGGGACAAGAAAGAGGGCATCCTACTAGCAGAGGCAAAGAGGCATGGGGAGGCCGAGTGTAGATTCCTTAATGTGGCCAAGGTCTAGGGAGGCCGGAGGAGTAAGCCAATAATGGAGGGCCTGGACCATTGTGCCCAGGGGCTTGGGCATGATCTTCGGGCAGTGGGGAATCTTGGGATTGTACAGAGTTGAGCTCAGAGCTTAAGAGAAGGCTTCATCTCCTGGCAGCTCAGCTCAGCTTGTGGTTGTGTCTGGCTCAGTCTGAAGTCTGAGCCCAGTCTGGGGTCTGGCAGCTTTAGCTGTAGAGTTTCTAGCCCTTGGGTTTGGCTGGTGAACCAGAGTTCTCTCTTACTGGACTGCGCCCTTAACTGTGTATCCAGAAGCCCTGCAGAAAAGTGTGTCTCCCTCCTTTATGACCTTCTGTGCTCTCACTGTCAGCCCTTCCTGCCAGTTCCCAGGGACCTTTTCTGTCTATGTGTTGTCCAAACCCATGGGGGCTGTGGACTACAGGGTGTGGAGCGGAATGTGGTCAGCACATAACTATATGAGTTTTCCCTTGAGTTCCTCCAGACCTGGACCAGCCTAGCTGTGAAAAACCTCAGTGCCTGTTTGGGAAGGTTCTAGAACCCACTCATAAAGAGTGTCCTTACTGGCCTGGCCAGGAGAGTGGTGCTCCAGCCTTCACGGTAGCACCTTCTGCTTCCACCACATACATCATTGTTTGCCACACAGGCTTGTGAGTTTCCAGACCACATTTCTTCCTGTCTCTTGATCCCACAACTTCAAAACTTGGAAGCTTTATTGATCACATGGAGAGACTGAGGCCCACTCTTAATAAGAAACCAAAACCAAGTATCCCTGGGACCAAAGAGAAACGTTGCCCCAGGTTGGTTGTGATAGTGTCGTGAGAACCCTAGAGTAAGGTAGACCTCTGAATCCCACCTCGGCCACCTATCTGAGCACCAACAGCAGCTTCTTAGAGCCTCAGCTTATCTGAAAAATGGGGATAATGATAGTTCCCACCACTTAGGGTTGTTGTGGAGCGTAAACGCAGTGCCAGATGGAGAGAGTTTAGCATGATGTCTGGCATACAGAAAGTGCTCCATTGGTACCGATCATTATTATGATTACAATTGTTAAAATTACCATTGCTTTTCCCCATCTCCTCTTCATGGTGACCAGTTCTGGGCAGATAAAATTCCTGATGAGAAAGTGCAGTTGTCATGTGATCATGCCCACCTGCCTCTTAGACGTCTCCTGACACATTCCAGTGACTATCTGACCAGTCATCCTTGATCTGAACTTCAGGGAACTGGCTGTGTTGATGGTAGCTATGAGACATTAGCCACATACTTTAGAGGGAAAGGGACAGACAGATGGTCCTTGGTCTCTACAGGTGTGTGTCAGGCATGTGGCATGTCTGAGCCACTGCCTCTCAGATTTGTTAAGATTAAGTCCTTATTGCCTGGTGTGTGTGTGTGTAGTCAGCATTCAACAATTATTGGTCATGGAGGCCTTTGAAAGGGAGAGGCAGGTGGTGTGGTATCATCAAAAGGACTTGCTCTGGAGCCAGGCCTGGGCTCCAGTCTTAGGTCAACTCTTCCTAGCTGTGTGATCAGGGCCTCACTAACTACGCCTCTCTGAGCCTCGGGGGCCTCCCCTGTAAGATGGGGTTGGGGTGAGGCTTCAGTGAAGTCATGCATGTGCGGCACTTTGCCCAGTGCCTGGTGCAGGGTACAATGCTCAGTAATCGTTTACTGCTGTTATAATTGTATCTCATTGAATCCTCCCCACGATTCTGAGAGAGAGATTTTGTCATCCCCATTTTACAGATGAGGAAACAGGCTCAGAGAGGTGAAGTGAGTTGCCCAAGGTCCCACAGCAAGTAAGTGACAGAGCCAGGATTTGAACCCAGATTCGGGCCCTGTGCCCACCCTCCTTCTCCATGCCTTCAAGGACCTCTGGGGGGCTGTCAGGGTGGGGGCCCTGTTTCAGCTACTTCCTGTGTCTTCCTTTTGCAGGTCATCCTTTTTCAGTACTAACGCTGCCGGCATTTCCGCATCTGTCCATGGGCACCACTCAACTGCCCCTCAGCCACTGAAATCCAGACTCCAAGCTGGGGCCAGGGACTCATCTGCCCCAGCATCTACTCCCATCCTTCAGCCTGCCCACCACCAGCTAGGCCCCCCGGCCTGGCCTTTTCCTCTCCTGCTGAGAACCAGAACCCGCCAGGAGCACTACAGAGTCCTCCCCTCAGAAGGCAGAGCTCCCTGACATTTGGAATCAGGGTGAAAACAACAGTCTGTTTTTCCCATTTAAACAGGAGTCATCTTTAACTTAAACTGATTACAATAGCGAAAAGCAAAGTTGAATTGTGTGACGCCAACAGTCTTCTAATTTACAGGTTTTCTTTCCCTCTCATATTGGCCTTTATTTACTACTTCCTTGGAACCATCTCTGAATTCTGAATAGCCAACAACCCCCAATGTTATCCACTCTGTTGCTTTTGTCTGGAAAACTCTACACTGTTTGTGGGATGTCCCCAAAGGAAAGCTATGTTCTAATTTTATCATTTCCATCTGTCTGGTTATGTCAAGTTAATTCAGAGAGAGAAGAGACACTGACCAACCCTGAGAGGCCCAGTAGAGCAGAGATGGAGACCTGCCCAGAGCAAAAGCAGACGGCTAGGCAAGGGCTGGTGGACCACTGACCTCCATTGATTTATAGATCACAGAGAGGCATGTGGCACATTGGGCCATCTTAAGGGGAAGAAAGAAAACACTCAGCTCAGCTGGGGCAGACCCTTTCCCTATCTATCCAGCATGGATGCAGGGAACATAGCAGAGATGGTGTTTGATCTGTGTGATGACATTTCGGCATGTTTGGTCAAGTTAAAGTTGGGGACCCTTGTTGGCCACTTAGTGACCCTTATGGGATGCGCCTGGGCTAAGTCTCCTCTTCGGGGAAGTGGATCATCCTGTTACAGTCCCAGGGAACAGAGCTGTGGGCCCAAATAATGTAGAGAGGGCATCTACTGCCTCGGTGGGAATGCCCCACCCAGGGTTCCAGCTAGCCCCTCTAAACTTCCCCACCAACCCTGTCTGGAGCCATCCCACCCACTTCTAAGAACAGAGGCTAGGCACAGCTGCATTCATGTTCACCCCACCTTGCTGCATCTCTTTACTCCAAACAAAAGGGCTTGGGCTACACACTACCATGATTTGTGTTCTGGGGATGTCCTCTTGTCCCAAGCATATCCTTCAGTTTTGGCACTCCTTGGTGTCTTGATGCATTTCCCACTAGAGGCTGCTATTAAGCATGTTTTAGCCCAAGCCCTCCTTTATGCTGTGGTTAACTACTCTTGGTTCTGGAAGGAGACTCTAGGACAGGGAAAGCAAGTTCCTAGTACATACGCAGTGGCTGTCCTTGGTTTTATCCAGGCCAGACATCAGTCATTGATTGCAGCACTCTCTAGCTCACTGAGTCTGGATGAAGTTTCAGAATCAACATGCCTGAAGTTGGCACTTAAAATGGAAACCCGTATGACCTTCTTGCTCTGGGACCAGAAGGAGGGCTAGGCAGAGATACAGCCTGAGAAAAGAACCTGCTTCCTCTTCCTCTGGAAGACAGTTGCAACTGATTCAAGACCAAGAGAAGGCACCACTCAGAGTGTGTTCACTGCAGTTCAGAACTCAACTAGCAAGTAAGCTGGTGTTAACAGGGGTGACTGGGCCTGATCCCTGGCCCTGGGAAGCTCTCATTTTTACTTTGGATTTTTGCTCCTGATGATCTACCCCCAATTGGAACCAGGTGGAAAATGGTCAGCTGAGCCCTGCCAGTACCCTCTGTCTTGAACCTCCCCGCAGGGTTCATTCTTTACGTGGACCATGTGGCCGTAGCACATTGCAGTTCCAACACGTGTCCACTACCCTGTTAGAGCAGCCTGGGAGTGCACAGACGTCAAGACTATTTATTTAAATACAAAACAAAAGGGGAAAACACACATGGAAAAAAAAAATGTAAGCACTTTTTGGTAAAACCAATGTCTGTTTTGTTACATACCTTTCATGTCGTGCTTTGTAAATGTCTTATTTGTGTAATAAATAAAGTTAATGCAAGTAGAAGTGCTGGCACTTAAATCCAGAATGTGATGGGATTCTGTTTTTTTCCTGCTCTCTAGTGAAGGGCTCAGGCCTCGGGTTCCCGCAGTTATTTGGGCTGTTGGACCGTGCAGTACCCCCGCTTCCAGGAGACTTGGTCCCGTTTCCCGCTTTTAAATGGTGCGATAAAAGGGAATAAGGATGGGTTTCTTCTCTAAGTACTTGCTATCCAAGCTTTGCAGGAACTAGGCTGGCTGCTGCCCTATGAACCTCCCTGAGTACATGCTCTCTGCCGGGCCCTCTGGAGGCTCTGCAGACTCGGGACCCTGCCCCAGAGCAGCACCCACCCAGTCTGGTGAATGTCACAGACTGACGTCCCTACAACATGCTGGGGGAGTAGAGCTGGATCCGCTCAGATGATGGAGGAAGGAGTTGGGGTCAGGGAGGAGATAGAAAGGAGTGTGTTAGGAGGATGGGGAAGTTTGGTGTGAAGGAAAGGGAATGGTGGATTGGAGACAGGGTTTCCCCCTACCCCAGCCCTGGCTGCTGCTGCACAAGACTGGGTCTCATACTGACTGTCCGGTTCCAGAACCATCATGCAATCTGGGAGAGAGCATCTTAATTTTTTTTTTTTTAAAGCAGCGTATGATTTGTTAAATCCAAATGTTACAGCCAGGTGTTAACAGCTTGAAGCAGATGAGAAATGAACTGATTCAGCTCCTGGTCACCATGTCATCCACTCGGCAAGGCCGCCATTCCTAATCCTGTCCCTATCCATCTACTCTTCTGATCCACTTTTCAAGTGTTGACTTAAATATATGCACATTATTAAAAATATGTATATTCATTTAGTTTTGTTTTTGTACATGCGTATTTCTTTATGTGGATGTACCTGCTGTTTCCAAAAGTGTTTAGAAACCACCGATGAAGCTCAACCTTGTCATTGTACTGAGGTGACTTGAAAACTCAAAGGGAGAGGCAATTAATTCCTCCAGGACCCCTCAGTGGTGCAGCTGAGAGTGGGTTTCAGCCTCACTCTGCCCAAGCATGACATCTTCTGGGTCCCTTGTTTGAAGTCCAGTTTTGAGCCCCTGGTACCTCTGGCTCACTCCGCTGGGCAACTCTGGGGACGCCCAGGGCACAAAGTACTGGGGCAGTGGGATCCAGCAACCTCTGAGGATGCTTGGGGTCCAAGTATGGCCCTGGAATATCTCCTGGTTCTCAGCTGAAACGTGTGCTATCTGGAGCTAGCAAACACACAATAAGCATCCATCTGTTAAGTAAGTATCTCATTCAACCCATACAACAACCTATTTAAGTTTACAGTCTCGGAAACCCTATGCAGGATTACTATGAGTCAGAATGGACTGGACAGCAATTAATGACATAACCGTGATGAGAAGCCCTGGTAAAGGTAATTAACGACATACAGCGATGAGAGCCAACTGGGTTAAGCACTGAGCTACTAACTAAGAGGTTGGCAGTTTGAAGTCATCAGCATGTGGCAGTCTACTTCCATAAAGATACATGGGAACTCTAAGGGGCAGTTCTGCGCTGCCGTACAGGGTTGCTGTGATTTGGAATAGACTTGACCGCAGTGAGTTAAAAGGTTATATGGTTCCCAACCTTTCCTAAGCATAAGAAATCCCTGGGAATGCAGATCCCTGGGTGATTCTGATACTGGTTAAATGAGGATGAGTTCATTTGGGACTACTGACTGCAGACAACAAACCTTTATTCTGGAACCAACAGGCACTACAAAGAATGACAGCATGCTCCCGTGGTCCAGTCAATGCCAGTGGTGCCGGCGGCAACCTCTGGTGGGGGCGGCTGCTGTGCTGATGACTTGGGTCTGTGACCCACGATCTCATCCCAGCCCTTCCTACAGGTCCGGACAATCCACTCATGCTCGTCGTCATCTGTAAGGAAAGGAAGAGCCGTTGAGACCTGGTGCTTGCTGGGACCTACTCTGGGAGTCCCCTGAGTGGGGTCTCTGGACTGGGGTGCACACCAGCATGAGGTGATGGCCTTGGTGGCCAGTTTGTTTAGCTCTGTGTTGGAAAGGAACAGATCTTACACTAAAATCAAACCCCTCAATTGCCCATAAGTGCCTACTCTTGGGGCAGTTGAACTCAAAAGGATTAGTGTGTAGATGCTGCATAATGGGAGAGAGGGGGATAAGCATGAGGTCTACTGGCCATCCTGCTCAGGACCATCTCTGGTAGGTGGTCAGAGAGCAGCCCCTAACTCAGGACCTTGTCCAGTTTGCTGTACCACAAACAGCACCTTGAACAGTTGGGCCCAAGCCTTGCAGGGTGGTGCTAGGAGACAGAGCCTTAGATTTCTGGGCTCTCCACATTGGAGAGTTTCCTTCAGAGAATTCATGGTCTTCTCAAGGTGGGGGCCTGATACCCTCTGTTAACTCAGATCCTCTCAGTGGGGAATGGAGAGGAAGAGGGCGAGAAGCTGGTATTCCCTGGAATCCCTCAAACACCTTTATTGCACTTATTTACTCCTTGTGGCCACTTGACAAGCAGGAGTCACTCCTACCATTTTACATATGAAGAAACAGAGGATTGGAGAGTTCACTGGCCCACAGCCACAACATCAGTATATGGGTGAGCCCAGGATTTGAACCTAGGATTGTCTGGCTATAAAATGGGAACCATTTTTAAAATCCCAAGTCCAGAGTTGAGTGCATCACGCTTTTCAGTTTATAGCACACGATCGTTTTCTCTCTGCACAAGGCCCCTCTGTGGATTTATTTTTATTTTTCCCCTTTATCCCCTCAAACCCACACACAGTCTCTCCCCTACCACCACAGGGCCCCATTCTAATGATGGTATATATACCCTTAAAAATGCATGTAGCTCTCTGTAAAATATGCACTGTTGTTTTGTGTGTGAATGTGTTTTTAATTTACACAAATGGCATTGTGTTGTGAATCTCATTGTGTCTTACTTTTTTCACTCAACACCACATTTCCAAGATCTAACATCGCTGAGCTGGAATCAACTTTACAAGCATTGGGGTTTGGGATTGTTATTCCTGCTCTGCATGTACATCCTGTTCGTTACTTCTTACTGCTCCCTAATATTCTACAGGGGGCTTCTGCCACACTGCTCTATCGGTCTTCCCAATGGTCGAAAACTAGGTTGCCTCTCAATACCTGTTGTAGTGCACAGCCCTGGGACACAGGTTCTTGTACACACCCCTTCACAGATATGAGAGAGAATGTCAGGGAGTCATGTACATGCCTCACTCACCAGGACTGCCAGCGAAGCCCACCGTCTTTTCTTTACACCTGCCTGCCTCCCCTCTCCAACTTTCTGCACCATGCCCTGGGGACTCAGAGAGCTCACCCCTACCCCTATCCTTGGGGCTGTAGCATTGGAGGCGGTCTTGCTTTTTCCCTTGACCCAGCCTAAGAGATGACTTAGACCACCCACCCAAATGGCAGAAGCTAGCGAACAAGGACTTTCCTCAAGAGCAAAGAACTCAGAGGGCTGGCGGGAACGCCACCCTGTGGATCAGATGCTCTGCTCAGGAGCTCCTTCCTCTTCTGTGAAAGGTCCAGGGTGTGACTGGCCCTGGACCCAGGATCAGGAGCTGGATGCTTGTTGACAGCCTACTGTGTGGTCCATGAGTGGCTAACACTGAACTTTGGCCATCTTTGTAACAGGTCATTGGGGGAGATTGCCCAGTTTTATAGAGGGGTGAGCTTTGTCCTATGGCCAGGCCCATGGAGTTTAAACCAAGGTTCCTTGGGCTCCACAGCCTGAGCCTTCCCACCCCAGGGCAGACATGGCCTGCCTGGTGCTGAGGCTGTCGCAGAGAAAACCTTCCCTGTGGCCCCCTCCTCTGTCTGCACCACTGACAGTAGCTGGTCCAAGGGAACATGCCCATTTCTTTGTATGTTGCCTAAGGAAAAAAAAAAAAGTCTCACTGCCTGGACTTGGAGGACTGCACTGACTAGGCAGTGGGCCTTAGTTTCCCCTAAGGAGGCTGCTTGGGAATCCCCATGTGGCTACTGAACCCTGCCTGGGGTGGGGAGGCGGCCACGTGGGGGTGAGCGGCAGGAGCGTGTCAGCACATAAGGAGTTAAGCGCTGGTGAAACCCACTTTTGCCACACTGTGAGCAGCCTGGTTGCTAATTACAGTTCTGAAGTCTCCAGGCTATTCGAATCAGTGCAGCTGCAACCTCTTCAGTGGTAACCCCTGAAACCAGACAAACTGGGTTTATTGTGCTGAACTAGTTTTCAGGCCCCTCCCTGATTGTTACAAATTGACAGCAATGGACTTAACAGCCCTCTTCACTACCCCTTTCACTCTCTACCTGGCTGCACAGCCACCAATTTGAATCACAGATGCCTCCCCTCCTGGCAGCTGCTTGCCACCCCTCCCTCCACCTCCTCTGAGCGTAGCCGCGGCTCCCCTGGCCCTGCCACGCCAGGGTGAGGCTGCCGAAGCACATTTCATCAATATTTAAAATGGAATTAAACCTGCAGCTTTGATTAATGCCTCCCAGATCCCGGGAGTTGTGATTACTATTTTGCAAATTGCGATTGTTGGAATATGTTAATATGATTGTCTGAGAACATCTTCACCTTCTCAGATAATTTTCCCCCTTTTGGGCAGGAGGGGAGGAAGAGAGGATGAGGGTGGGGGGAAGATGGGGAAAAACACCCCACAAACTCTTTAATCAATTGTAAATTATTACCCTTGTACCCTTGGCACAATTACTGGTGGTGCACATGGGAAGTGGAGGAAGATTTCTGGACGGGCTCATTTGTCTTTAGAAGTTTGTGGCTCCCTTTGACCCACTAATTCTATTCTGGGACACTATCCTAAAGGAAGAATCTCTTTGTCTCAGAACTATTACCAATCAAGACAACAGCTAATAAATAACCTACATTTCTAAAACACGGGAATGATTAATTTTTGTTATATATTCACCCACTTAACAAATAATTTGTAAACACTGGCTCTCTGTCAGGCAGCATGCTAGCTGCAGCAGGAAATGGTGAGCCTAAATACGCAGGAGTACTTAGTAGCTACTGAAAATAATGGTTATAAAGTCTGCATAGCAACATAGGGGACTTTTTTTATATGGTAAGATGCCAAAAAAGAGAAAAACACAAAACCCCAAAGCAAAACAGGAGAAAGCAGCAGGGTAGAAAACCACATAGACAGTTTAATCTATGTCAAAATGGTCCACGGAAGAAAAGTGAAAGTGAACAGATGGAAATATGAACAATGGTCAGCTCTGAGCAGTAGGACTGGAGAGAGGGCTTTCTGCTCCTTGGTATTTCCTAAAACTTATTTCATTGATTCTTACGACAATAGAAAAAACAAAAACAATTATTCAATTGTTTTCTCCCCTCTGACTTAGTGATTTGGTAATTTCATGCACTTTATTCTTTGAAGTAAAATATTTCAAGGTTTCTAGAAAAACCAACAGGGCTCTAGAACTTTTTAAAAAGAAAAAGATCCAGCATAAAAATATTGCTAAACCCAATAGGGGGAAGGGAGAGGGGAATGGAAGGACAAGATAGACAGGGGAACACTTACATAGGTTTGCATGGGCTAAGTGGGACAGAGGTAAATAGTGATGTGTGCTCAACCTTGGAACAACAGGGCTCTGTGATACAAGGATCAAGACATAATTTGAATGGGTAAAAGAAGGGAAATAATGTTAAGATGCTTGACTGTCTTATGGATATTGGTTTCCCTTGCCTACTATTGTAAAATAGATACTTGAGGGGGATAGATAGGAATATCAGGAAACATGATCACAGAAAGTTTATAAGCCCATCTTCAGCCTATAACTGATTGGAATACCTAAAAGGGGGTCTAGAACTTGACCAGTGAAACAGGTTTCTTGCAGAGCCCTTGTAGTGTATAGGACCTTAGGTGGAATCCTAAGCCTCATCAAGAACCTTCTGAGGAGGGACATTTCCACTTGAAAGGACATGCAGACCAACCCAGAGTGCTAGAGGAATAGAGGATACTTCCAGAAAGAGACCAGCAGGAAAAAAGCAAAAACAAAAACAGCAAGCTGTTTACTGGCGAGAAATCAAGGCAAGCAATCAAGTCCCTTCAGGACAAACCCCCTCCAAGATTGAAACTCAAAGGGAACACATAAGCAGGCATGTAAGCTCCCTGGCAACTACATTGGTCTACTGGTAAGTGGAAGTGGGGGAAAGGCAACAATGAAGATATGGGCTGAGTTTGACCATGTTCCATAGAACCTGTCAACTTGGAGATGAGAGAGAGAAGAGGAAGAGCTGGTTGGCCCAAAGTATGGTGAGACCTAGGGACTCCAGAGCCCATGGACACTGACCTAGCCACTAGGGGCTAGAGCTAATAGTGAAGCATCCAGCTGATATGAAGTGGGGGTAGATGCACCAGAATGCCCAAACTTGCGGACAGTACCCATTTAACCTATCTTCGATGGCTTGATGACCAGAGCTGGACTATAGGAAGTTAACGAAAGCAAGTGTAAATTGCTACAATTTGATGAACTTGACCTATACTTAATGGATGTAGTAGCTCATAATGCCAACTAAGAGGGAAGGAGTCTTCACATCAAGGATCCAACCTATCCCCTTGGTATATAGGGTTGAAAAGGACAGGCAACTTAGTCATTGGCTACCTAAAATGGGGTGGGGGGCTAAAAAGGCATGAAGTGGCTGACTTACACATTTTTAAGAGGGAGTTTAGTTCCAGAGTGTACGGGGGAAGGTAGAATTTCCACTGAATAGTTTTCATCTTGTCTAGATGGGTCTGGTGAAAGGCGATGGGGGTAACAGTCTTATGATTCAATAGTGAGTAATTGTTATCATGACAATTTGCAATTGTCTCAACTGTAAATGGAAAAGTTTTGTAACATAAAGGGGGAGTAGGTAATTTTATATTC